ACACCTGTGCCCTCCTCCACGAGGCTGCGCGACCCTCCCCCGCCCCCCGATGCTCCACTGACCCTTCTCCCCAGTCGCCCTGCCCCGCGATTGATTCCTTCGCTGTGGCCGCCCCTCTGGAGGTCTGGCGCCCTGGGGACCTCTCTCCGCCCAGTTCTGCGCGGAGCTGGGGGCGGCCCGCGGATAGTGTCCTCTCTGCGTCCCCAGCCCTGCCGCGGCGACATTTGTCCGCCCCAAAGTACCGTTGTCAGGGCTCCGCCTGCGGAGACGCGGGGCCTTCTGTGTCCAGCTGTGTCCAGGCAGGGTCTAGGCTCTTCGCCCGCATCCAGTGCACCGATTGGCACCTAGGGGCTCTCGAATCCCGCTTGCCTGGGACAACAGTTTTCCCCAAGCCCTGGGGGCCGGTGTGAGCACCAGGACCCAACAGACTCGAAAATCCTTTGTCCCTTACATCGTGACGTGGAGGAATGGGTCCCAGGCCACCGGGCAAGGCCCAGGACCCTCAGGCATGGAATGGCCGAGGCGTCACCTCTGGCCTTGCCCGGTGGGTGACCCAAACTCCAAGCATTAACCATCCTGGTTGTCCTGTGATTTCCCTCTGGCCACTCACTGTGGCCGGGCGACTGCGTGAGTCACGGCTGGCCACTCTGGACTGCATGCTGCTGCTGAGCAGTGTCATGAGGGCAGTGTCCCTTTGTCACACCCTGTCACGTCCTCAGCACCATTTCCCCCACTCGCTCCTGCCTCCGTGTCACAGCCTCCCGGTCACGGATCTGGCGCCAAGGACGGAGCTGGTTCCCAGCCAGAGCGCAAAGGGCCTGCTCCCAAGGGCCCACTGCGGTCGGGCGGGAGGAACCTGTCTCCTCCAGCTGCTGTGAGAAAAATGGCACCAACAGGGTGGCTTTTTTTTTTTAAATAATTTTAAAATTTTTCAGTTACAGTTGGCACACAACATCATATTAGTTTCAGGTATACAGTGCAGTGATTAGACATATATAGAATTTATGAAGTGATCACTCCCAATAAATCCGGTACCCGCATGCCACCATAGTCATTAATATTGACTATGCTGGACTTCGCATCCCATGATCATTTTGTAACTGCAAGTTTGTACTTCTTAATTCCTTCCCCTTTCCCACCGAGCCCTTCCCAGCCCCTCTCATCTGACACAGAAACTATCAAAATGTTCTCTGTATCTATGAGTTCGTTTGTTTTATTTTGTTCTTTAGATGCTACTTGTAAATGAAATCAGATGGCATTTGTCTTTCTCTGTCTGACTTACTCAGCACAATACCCTCTAGGGCCATCCATGTTGTTGCGGATGGCAAGATTTCATTCTTTTTTATGGCTGAGTAATATCCCGCCGTATATGTGCACCACCTCTTCCTTATCCCTCCATCCCTCCACCCGTTCACGGACGCCCAGGCTGCCTCCACATCTTGGCTACTGTGAATAATGCTGCAGCGAATGTAAGGATTCGCATGTCCCTTCGAAGCAGTGTTTAGGGTTTCTTCGGATAAACACCCAGCAGTGAGATTATGGGGTCCTTCTTTGTCTCCTGTTACAGCCTTTGTTTTAAAGTCTATTTAGTCTGGTATAAGTATTGCTACCCCAGCTTTTTGTTTGTTTGTTTTTATTTTCCATCCTTTTACTTTCAGTCTGTGTGTGTCTTTCAATCCCAGTGTGGGGCCGGGGCCCCTCACTCCTCCAGGGCGACCTCCTCAGCCAAGATTGCCCTCCTGATTCTCAACCGCCACACGTGGGTGTGGGACCAGCCCGTTCTGCGTCTCCGCCCCTCCTACCAGTCTCCACGTGGCTGCTGCTTACGTCTGTAGTTATAGGACTTCTGTTCAGCTAGACTTCAGCTGGTTCTCAAAGGTGGCTGTTCTGTGGGTTGGCTGTAGTTTTGATGGTTGTGGGGGGGGGAGCCAAGCACAGCGTCTACCTCTCTGCCGCCCTGGTGCTCCTCGGCTTGTCGGAGCATCACCCATCTGCCTCTACATTCACATGGTACTCGGTGCATGCGGACGCGTGAGTCTCCAAATGTCCCCAATTCTATTGGATTGGGGCCACCCTAATGCCCTCATTCTACTTTGATCACTGCTGTAAAGACCTGATCTCCAAATGAGGCCACGTCCTGGGGTCTTGGGGCTTAAGACTTTGACATGTGGATTTGGAGGCACGATTCACCCCTTACCAATGAGGAAATGTAACAGGCCTGTTCCCAAGGGAGCAGCTCAGAATGTGGCTGCTCCTTGAAGCCATGGCACTGGGCACGTGGTCGAGGCAGCCTGGGTGGCCCATTTGCACTTGCAGAGACCCGGAGGAGGGGGTGGGACAGGACAGCTGGCTTCAGGTGTCCTGACACTTTTAAGGGAAAAATGGACTCTCCATGGTGATGCAGATGGGGGACAGAGGAGGACACATGTGCATTGTGCCCGGGTGATGGGGCTCCATCCAGCCACACAGCCTCCGGCAGGTCACCTGCTAAGGCGGCCACGGGGACCATGGCATGTGTCCCCTCACTGGGCCTGAACTGAGGCCCACGTGGGGTGCCCCCACTGCAGCCCCCTTCCCCTTTTGGACCCCATACCACCTCCCGTGGCTTCAGCCACCTCCTAGGATGGCAGGGCTCACGGTGCCCGGCAGCAGGTGTG